AATATTAATATTAATATTAATATTGATATTAATATTAATAATATTAATAGTAATAATAGTAATAAAAGTAATAGTAATAATAATAATAATAAATAATAATAATAAATATAATAATAATAATAGCGATAATACAATAATAGAAATATAATAATAATACGAGTGATGAGTAACAACAAAATGATAATAAATGTGATAATAATAACAACGAGTAATAATAGTAAAAATAATAATAATATTAATAGTAATTATCATAATTATAACAGTAAAGATAAGAAGAATAAAATTGCACAGTACAGAATCCATAATTTTACATTCTCGTGTCACGGCTCAAAAAGAAAGTTACCCGAATAATTTTGAAGAAAATCAGAAAAAAAAAGAACAGGAAAAAATGGAATAAAATTAAATAGAAACTATCAATGATGAGAAAACACAGACAACGAAGAAACAACGAGGAAATGATGATAAGGAAAAAAGGCTACCCGGCTCAAATTGTTCATTCGTAATTGTTCATAAAAATTTTAGCCCTTCATTTACTACTTCATCTCATTAAGGCTTGTTTCACTGTCTTTCCGTGTCGGGGCTGCACCAGCTAAACTTGAGCTATGGAATAATTTATACCAATCTACTAGTGGCCTACTACTAAGGTCCAAGTCGTCAAGCCGAATTTGGGCAATACCCATGAACGAACGCCGTTCCATTCGACTATACTCGCCCATTAGTGTTATCTGAAAGAAACAACTAGAATCTCTTCTACATATGATCCTACTTTCCTCAAAAAATGTGATTGGTAAAAGCGAATGTTGAAACGGCAGAGAACTGCTAAATTACTAGAGAAAATGACTGGAAACCTGAAGCATCTTTTTTCGTGGTGAGTGGTTGAAAACAAATTGTTGTTGGAACTCAGGATTTTTTGATCGTGCTGCTACATTAGTTTTTGCTTTCGCTACGCACTGTTTCCCTTCCAAGAGATATATTTTTACATACGGGGCTGAAGAGCAATAAACATAACAGAATACACCATTTAACAAAAAACTGTCTTATAACAGCTGTTACACTTATCTTTAGGTAAAGTAACTCACTATTATTCAGAAATCAAAAAACCTCATCCCTGGATATAAAAGCTACCTGGAAGCGCTTTCCCTGGTTTTGCAACGAGATTACGAGCACGAATCACTTGTATTTCAAGAGCGTTACGCACTGCAATACCAATATTTATCTCTCCCAGTACAGGACTGGCCAAAACTTGTCTACCAACAACCTAAAATACGCAACATATTACAAACTGAGTTTTAGATCAAATGCTAGAAATCTTAATTTTTATGAATATTACCTGGCCAGGTCCTAAATTCTCAATAAATGCACCAAGTGGGCCTTCAGTAAGCACCGGTCCCCAACTAAAAGATTATAATCATCGCAGCTTCCAGATGTTATCAAATTGTAAGAGTAATTGCTTAGAATTAGAGAAAATACAAAGTCACTTTCATTTGACCTGTCAGTATAATAATAGCCCTTTTGACGAGGGGTGGAATGTTAACGAACAAAAAGGTAAAAAACTTACTTATCACTGTGAGCTGAGTCTGTTGATTCCTTGGATACTTGTTTAGTGAACGGCGTTGCAGCTAGCCATTCAGGAACACCAACTTCCTCCGTTCGAGAAAAACCGGCTCTTTTACCCTCTGTAAAAGTTGGTGATCATTCAGTAAAGCGTTTCAAAAAATTTGCTTTCAATGTTTCGTATCGTAGCTGATATTCTAGCCCTCACTTATTTGTTGACTTCTGCCAGGAATGTGTAAACGGTTAATGAGACCCTTCTTTCTTTCTTTTTCTTTTATATTGGCCGAACTTTTAGTTAATGTCGAATCACTGACAATATCTTCATCGGCAAAGTATTCTGCATTTGGTAAACGATTTTCATCAGAAGTTTGACGAACAACATCGCCATTGGGAAGACCAGGCTGAATTGCTCTGAAAGGCTTCTGAGGCTTATTTAGGAGCAAAAAAAGTAGTCTCTCAGTAACTTCAATAGTAATAGTCGAGTGAAGGGTTAAATATGCAAATTCCTGTTCACCTAGACGGCATACTACGACTTGAATGAACGCTCAATGTTTCTGACCCATCGCTGCCGTATTCAGGCATATTTTCTGCTACAATTTCATTTTTGACTTTATCAGTACGCACCCTTGGTTCTTCGTACTGCATGGGTTGCATGCCTTGATCTTCCATACCTAAATCACCACTATGTTAAATAAAACAACTGTCTCACCAAATACTAATTCAAAAAAACTTCTTTCAAACTGTATTAAGGCATTTAACTAGACCCGTTGAAAAGCACATCTTCGACGACTTAGTCACGGAAACAGTAACAGTTTTCAGATTAAAATACACCAATCATGCTACTCATGCTACTAGTTATGAACTAGCGCTCCCAAACTCAACTTATTTGAGAAAGGAAAATCCATAAAATTTTTTAAAAGAACGGTACAAAAGAGCCTAATGCTTAGCAAAAATGCCAATTTAGCGACAAGATTACTCCTGCAAAAATTTAAAGTTAAATGGTGCTTGATTTTTACGCATTTTTGGACTTGGAAACGCCATATTTTAGCTATAGAACTGACATTGAGTCAAAGGGAAGGACCTTGTACGGACGATTGATGGGTTGGCAAATTTTCTTCGATTGTCCAAGATGTATTTGGCAAATTCCTAGCCCGAGCTACCATCTTCTCCGATGGCCCTTGAATGAGACGCAATAATTTTTAAGTTGTTGCCAAAGCAGCGCATTTTGAAAATCCACCAGAAACAAGCTTTTACTACCAACGATCCACTTTATTGGCAATTTAGTTTAATTAATATTCTATCTCACGACTGTACTTTCTTAAAGGAATCCAAACATTCGGAAAAAATCAAGAAAAATTTTGTTTCTTTTTTGATATTCTCGCCATTCTTTTCTTACTGTAGATGTATCTTTTAAAGTTTTTACTTTGTCTTAATGCCGTGGCAGATCTAGGTCTTCGTTCCTTGACATTGTAGCGAAAAGAAAGCGGACCACTATAAGCCTGATCAGAGAGATAGCCTGAATATCTACTGTTGTTGATTGTCCAGTCTTCCTCAACGTGCATTCTCCCTCTGTCGTACGTCCTTGATTTGTGCATTCCTCCACTCATTTCTATTTGGGGCTTAAATAAAATTTCAAGAAAAAATGTTTGATCAGATCAAATAAAATACTTTAGCTCAAGACATAAAAACCACTGAAAAAAAACTAAAACTAAGTGTTTGTTGAATTAAAGACGAGAAACATTAGGCAACCTGTCGATAATCCGACATACGTGATTCGCTAGTGCCGTAATACATCATATGCGGATTGTAATCTGAATGCTGTTCAAATATCACATTTGAATTTTTGTTTGACTAAATACTATTTTAGCAATAAAACTTAAAAAGTGCTTTATAAATACTTCTGTGTCAAACAGAACGAAAATAAAAACCTTCAACGTAGTCGTAATGTCGCGCGGGGTAGTGGCTCATCTCACTTCGAGGTCTACTTGGTGGTTGGTAGACATTCAGGCGTCTTTGACGCAAACGCTAAACTGCCTTAGTCAAAGCATTCTCAGGTAAACCACCTAACTTGTGGCTGTCAGGTAAAAATGAAAAAAGATACAAAAATATGATATGACCTCAACACTTTATTGAAAATTATGACAATCTTCTCTATTCAATTTTTATTTGTACATCTCTAGTATGGATAGTGTTTTTGAAATACACTGAATTCATTCACAAGGAATATAGTCAAGA